TTATCAATGTGATTCCTCATTGGTTTCTTAAACTCAGGGGTAGCAAATCAGTATTGATTATTCCAAAACCGGACCTTTGGTGCGCAGTGACGTACTGTGGTCTGCAGGTCTGTGGAAGTGTAGCATTGTGCTGACAGCTACTGACCGTGGAGTCAGACTGCCTAGGTGCCCTCCCTTTGCTCTGTCTACTAACTGTGACCTTGGGCACGTTGCTGAAGTGCTCTGGGCCTCAATTTCCGCCTTTTTGTGGGGAGGAGGGATGCTCAGTTTCTTTAGATTTTAAATGGGGATATCTCCGAAGTTGTTGCAAAGATTACTTGAATTAATATAAGTATTTAGAACTGTGTGTAGAACCTGGAAAACTCTGTAATTTTACTAGTAGCTGTTGTTATGTTTGTTGTTGCTACTTAGGAAAAAATTTATTTCCTTTTCATGATAAGAGTTGTAATGCTTTCTAACAAGATTTATTTTATTTCATTTAAATGGTTAATTCAGTATGATATACTTTTAATTTTTCTGTATATAATCTATTGATTGTTAAAATTTGTGATTAATTTACAGCCAAGTGAGAGAAATTTTTTTATGCTTCTTAAAATGTTTTAATCAGATGACACTGAAAAACAACCTAAATAAAGATGTCGTAAATCATTTTTCTTTGCTTTCAAGAGCCAAATGAGTAAAGTACTCAGAATTCAATGTTTTCCTTGGGTTAGAATATTTTTAAATACTTATTTAATTATAAGAAAGAAGTTATTTTATTTATTTGTAAATATAGGAAAAGGCAGACACACCCACTGGTATGTAAGTACATTCAGGTGTATTAAGTGGCCTCCTTTACCCCCTCTAAAATGTACATACTGCCATCTGCTGGAGGGAACTTTTGTGCAACATTTAGATGGAAAAAAATTAGTGTCAGTTTTTGTTTGTTTTTTGGTAAGTTAAACTATATCTTTTATTCAATTAAACACATTGAAAGTATGAGTCTTCACGTCTCTTTCAGGGAAAACTAAGATGGGGGTGGTTGTTTTTTTAGCTCTTTTCAGGTAGATTATGAAAATACGTCCACAAACCTTTAAAGCTTTTTGCAAGGGTAGGTGGAGGAGTGCTAAAGTACTTTATATTCGGCGGAGGGCAGTTGTGTGGCATTTTTTTTTTTTTATTGAAACAACTGTGTAATGTAGGCAGAGCAAGTTCAATTATAATTTTCCAACTAGAAAATAAAGGATCAGAGAGGTTAAATGACTAACTGAGGTTACTCAGTTTATCAGTGGCATAGCTGGGACCAAATCACAGGCCTTTGAATAACTAATCCAAAGTGCTAATTATTTCTCCAACTCTTATCATATTCACTATGTCTCAGAGTATAAAAACATTGCATCCTATTACTGATAAGGCTTGGAAAGATGAAAAGCAGTCAAATTATTAAGTTCACTTTAAAAGTAAATAAGGTACAGGAAGCAGCAACTTTTTAAACCTGGAAAGGCACAATATTAAGTGGTATCCAGCACTTTGTACAATGCAGACACCTACTAGCTGTTTATTTGCCACACTGAAAGAATACTTTCTTCTGTGTATACATATACTGCCTTATATGCTACCCATCAAGTTTAGGTCTACCCTGTGACAGTTTCATGAATGTCTGCTGACTCAGAATACTCCATAACTAATTTTGGTTCTGTCAGAACCTTATTACCTAATTAGCTTAGTGTAACTTATAAATAAACAAAACAAAACATTAAGTCTTGTTATGTAACATTTTTCTTTTGGCGAATGGTAAATTTTTAAAAGTGTCCCTTTATTCCATCATTTTATGTTACATAAATGTAATATTTCCATGAAATATATTTGTGTAATATTGCCATTGACAACATGAATTTTGTCCATTATAGTTTCTTGACACTGTACTGATTTTAAAATTCACCAAATACAAATGTATCTACTAAATTAGGGGGGAATAGATGCACATCATACTAACTCATCTTTCACAAGTTACTTGCCATTATTACCAACGTTTGTTAATTGTATGATCCTAGGATTTTCTGTGTAGATTTTTCCTGTAACATTTAAAAGTGCAGTTGTCACTGCTGTTGTGCAATGGCTGTAAGTCCCTCCCTCCCTTCCATCACCTCTGCTCTAGAAATTGATTCAGTTTTTTCAACCTCACTACTTTTCTTTAGTTTTCATTTGTATTCTCCAATTTTTGTTCACACTTTAAAAAGTACTGGTAATGCATATTTTATAATGTATTTACTAACATTGCTTTCTTTTTTTTTCTAACATTGCTTTCAACCTTTTCGTTTTTCACATTGAAAGTTACAAGGAGCTAAGTACGTGTTGAGTGAGGCCATGTTGCTAATTCAAAACAGATGCCTTACAGAAAGTCTCTGGAAATATCTGAGAGTCTTGGGATGGATTTTGTTGGCCTATAACATTAGAACTTCCTTATTAGGTAATTAATCCAGAAGAAAAGGGGACATTCGGTTTTCAATTAGGCAGTAGGAGGTATGGAGCGAGATGAGAGAATCTGCCCATGCCCAAAACAGGTCTTAAGAAACCAGCATTTTGTCCAGCATTCAGTTTTTCCTTATATTTACCTCAGATATACCCTGTAATAGTGTTAATTCATGGGTTTTTTCTATTTATTTTATAGATATACAGGATATATTGAACCCCTTTTCCATATGGCTGCGATTAAGTCTTCTCTAGGGCTTTCTTTTCTTCTTCCGATACTTGAATGTCGCTCTCTTCCTCTCACTGAAATTTCTTTGAGCAATTTGTTTGCGTGAGTCAAATATTTTCATTCTTGCCTAACACTGTGAGATAGTGTTCTTAAGTTTAGTTTTTATTTTTGTTGTTGACAGTATTACAAATGTCTCCCACTTTGCCCCCCGCCCCCCCCGCCGCCCCCAGGTCTTCTCCCTGCTGGTGTCCTTTTGATCAAAGCTCAGAAGTTGAAGAACACGAGCAATAAGGGGTTGAACCAGTATGTCAACTGAGACCCTTAGTGTTTGGTGTCAGGCTCTTAGCCACGATGTCTACCCAGCCATTCTGTATGAGACACATTCTCCAGGTCTCTTGCTCTTTGCTCTTCTTCAGGTACATTTGTTGTTTGTCACTACCTCTTGTATAACAACACAGACAAAAGGAGCTCAGTACTTCAGGGGTTCTCTGGCCTTCAGTAGGACAGCTTGGGGATGAGCTACCTACATGCACACCTGATAGCAGGTTTTCTTTTTCACTCCTTGGCTTATCTTGAACAGGTATTAAATCTGGTCTTACCATTCTATGTTTGTGTATGTGTTTGTAAATGAATGTGCACATATGCATGCATCCTTCCACTTTTTTAAAAGGACTCTATATCTTTTTTTTTGTTAAACTACATTTTGTCATCGTTAGTATATACTAGCTTTGTGAGATCTTTTTCCTCTGTTTTAGGTATTCTCTCTTTTTTTCCCCCCCAGGTACACATTCAGTAAGTATGCTTTTAGTTCACATTGAAGGCTTTGGTTTTTTAAGGTGTTCTATGCAGTCCCATTTGATTCTTGAAACATTTCATTTGAGATTTCTTGATCTATATCTTGGTGACTGTGGCATTTCACAATTTTATGATTCATGAGTTTCTTTTTTTTTAGAATGTTCTACCATTTTTGAGTTATATTTCTTTTTAAAACCTCTTTCTGTGAGATTTTTAAAATTTGTAACCTATCTTTTTCTCTGTAGGTTTTTAATTTTCCATGCTTACTGTCCAAACCTCCTGGATCTCAAGTGGAACTGCAGTTGGTTTTCCATCCCCCTTTTAGTTATTACAGCTAACTTTGTAATCTAGTTGGATAGCCTCACCTTTTCCCATTC